CGGAGGCGGTTACGGAGGTAACGGCGGAGGTTACGGCGGAGATTACGGAGGTCACGGCGGAGGTCACGGAGGCGGTTACGGAGGTAACGGCGGAGGTTACGGCGGAGATTACGGAGGTCACGGCGGAGGTCACGGAGGAGGTTACGGAGGTAACGGCGGAGGTTACGGCGGAGATTACGGAGGTCACGGCGGAGGTCACGGAGGCGGTTACGGAGGTAACGGCGGAGGTTACGGCGGAGAGTACGGAGGTCACGGCGGAGGTCACGGAGGAGGTTACGGAGGTAACGGCGGAGGTTACGGCGGAGATTACGGAGGTCACGGCGGAGGTCACGGAGGAGGTTACGGAGGTAACGGCGGAGGTTACGGCGGAGATTACGGAGGTCACGGCGGAGGTCACGGAGGAGGTTACGGAGGTAACGGCGGAGGTTACGGCGGAGATTACGGAGGTCACGGCGGAGGACGCGGAGGAAGTTACGGCGGAGGTCACGGCGGAGATTACGGAGGTTACGGCGGAGGTCGCGGAGGAGGTTACGGAGGTCACGGCGGCGGCCACGGAGGAGGTTACGGGGGTAACGACGGCGGTTACGGAGGAGGTTACGGAGGTAACGGCGGCGGCCACGGAGCTCTGAACGGCGGCTACGGCGGTCGCGGTGGCAGCCACGGCTACGGCGGACACGACGGTGGATTCGTCGGCAGCTTTGGCGACCTGGGTGTCGGCAGCCTCGGTCTGAACAACTTCGGCGGAGAATACGTCGACGTCGAAGGTTTCACGTTCAACCAGGGCCGTGACGACGCCGCCGCCGCCGCTCCGTACGGCTCGCAGCTGAAGTCGAAACCGGCAGTCGTCGGCGACCGATACAGATCCGGATCCGCCAAGCAGTACGAGAGCAGTTCGGCCGACAGAAGCGGATCCGGATCGGGAGAGGCCGGAGTCGCTATCAGCGCCGCCCGCAAGGCGAAGCAGAGTGCTGCCCAACAGTTCAGCCAGGAAGCGGCCGGGGAGGGGTACGCCAAGAAAGGAGCCGCCTACCGCTTCCACGGGTATCCGCGCGTCGACTACCAGCCCGTGTACACGAGGCCGGCGAAGGTCCACTACGGCAAGACCTACCGTAAACCGTACGCACATCAACAGCGGTCCTACCACTAAACCACGACACCACGACAGAGATGGTGAGGCGGGAAAAAGGAGAACAAGACAGAGAGAGAAGAATAGAGAGACGGCAGAAAGAAGCGAGCAAGATTTAGATGCAAAGAACTGTTAGCGTTTGCGGATGATTTCCTCCCGACTCGGTAAATGCGACTAAAAAACACACACCCGTACCAACAACGCCACGTTCTATCCGTCCGTCGGACACTAGTAGCCTCGAATCTTAGAAAGCGCTTTGCTCGGTATTAAACAAAGATGGCGCCGGCACTGTCTTCTGTTCCGTGACGTCACGGACACACACTCGATTTCGACGAATCGCAGCACAGGTTGAACAGATCTTCTCGTTGCTGAATCTTGTAACTTAACAGAGAAACCGATGATAAGGATTTGATAACTTCATGGGAAACATGAATGACGCGCTTTGACCAGCACGTGTTAAGCAATTGTGACATTTATAAGGCCATCGTATTTATTGTTTGTTGTTTGTTATTCTATATATTTTATTAATAAATAGTTTTGCACTGTTTAAACTCGTTTCTTTTCGTGTACATGTATGCTAGCGTGAGAAACTTAACACTAAATCTACTTAAATTATGTAAAACGACGATGATATTAAATAACGGCTAATCATTTATTTCCGCCAATCCTCATCATATAATAACCGTCGTCTACTCGCAATTCAATGAAAGTTTAATATCCATATACACGTATAATAAACATCATTATATTTATATTATATACACGAATATATAACTGTGCAAATTTAGAAGAAACCCTTAAAATTCGCGACTTGCACGCTACGCAATAAGGTACCTCGCAAGTTCGTACAAAGATTCTGTGAAGATTCCGCGTAAATTCGGCGTTCCAACTCGACCGTTAACAATGCGTGTATGTCATTGTTTGCTGCTACTTCACCGTCACAATCACCGGGGTTGCCCCATTGACCACGCGTCATTTAGGACTTCATTTAGCACGTCACACCACACGTCACACCACACGTCACACCACACGTCACACCACACGTCACACCACACGTCACACCACACGTCACACCACACGTCACATTGGAAACGTACACTGAGGGGAGGTAGAGGGGGGAGGTGGAAGGGGAGGGGGTGAAGCAGAATAAAAGCAAAATTACGTCCATTGTAAGCACAGTGACCGCGCACACGGCAAACATGCATGGTCCACATATCGACATGATGGCTATTAAAAGCTTGTCGACACATTCTATAGATACATCGGCGCACAACAACTGCTCGCGTTCATGTGATTGTGTGTTCGTTCATTCACGCGGTTTCTGTGATACGGGGAAACGAACAAGGCGTCTAACAAGAATAGGGAGAACGAGAGCGTTTGCAAGTATGTAGGCCTATATATATATATGCTATATTCGACCATTTCGCACACAGGGGGGGCTCCTTTCGTTTTCGTGATCACCTAGCGGCGTGTCAGAACAATCATCTTCGGACTAGAAACGCCGTGCACGGGGCTTGACCGACCGCTCGCTGCTGTGCCGGCGTCCGTATAAGAGCGAAAGCAAACACGACCGCGAGGCTTACATGACGAGAAGATGAAAAAGAAGATGAAGAAGAAGAAGGAGAGAATAGGCGGTGATGAGCGGGTCACAACGATAGCGATAGACAACGATAGTCAGTAGTGACACAATCGCCACCTCTGTACTGCTCTCCAAAACCTATTGCACTCAATAACACACGCGTGAAAAGCGGTTCAACGAGTGACGTCACCACCGCCACTGTCACGCTCACCAGCGGCGCAACACATGAGTGACGCTGTTGTTGCTATGGTTGTTGCATGTAATGTAATTATACACAGCTGACTGCGCCTTACCCCCCGCTTTAATTATAAAATCTCGGTGAAATATATGCTATTTATTTACGGATGATGCGTTGCCGACTGTTTGTCTCGTGGTATTGTTGTTTTGCGCGCTGTGGCTATATGTGGGTAACCGTGCTAAAAGCGATCGTTTGGAGATAGACGTATATGTTCATATATATATATATGTATATACACAGAAATGTATGCGTGTGTGCGTGTGTGTGTGCGTGCGTACATGCGTGTGCGTGTGCGTGTGCGTGTGCGTGTGCGTGTGCGCGTGCGCGTGCGCGTGCGCGTGCGCGTGCGCGTGCGCGTGTGCGTGTGCGTGTGCGTGTGCGTGTGCGTGTGCGTGTGCGTAAGTGCATGTGTGCGTGTGCGTGTGCGTGACACGCACTACGCACACGCCACACGCACATACGCACACACACACAACGCACTACGCACCACGACACGCACACGCACACGCACACACACACGCGACCACGCACTACGCACCCACGCCACTGCGGCACACGCCACACGCACACGCACGACGCGACACGCACACGCACACGACACCACACACACTGAGTACACATCACACACACACATCACGGGGCACGCACGACAGGCGCACACACGCCACGACGCACACGCACACGCACACGCACACGCACTGTATATATTATTTATATATAGGGTCGACACATTGGTCGGCATTGACGAAACAGCACATAGCGAGCGCAGTACTGATACACTGCAGCGAGATCCGCTACCGATACTCGGACGCATGACATGCATCGCACACGCACACGCACATACGACACATTCGCACATGCACACGGCACACCACGAGTCAGGACAGTTGAGCCGTATATATATACACAAGTTAGAATTTGTGTATAATATGTTTGTTATATTGTGCGTCACTAAGACCATCCGCCACGCACACGGCCGCGCAGTTTCGAACAAAACCGCACATTGTTTGCGTCCTGACACCTAGCCACTAGCTAACCCCTCACCCGACCCCGACCCGACCCCGCCACCAGCCCACCCTCCACCTCCACCCCACCCCGGGGTGTCTGGTTACCTCGGGTTCTGCTGCCACGCGAAGCAGATCATCTTTATAAGTTTTATAACATATAAGTATATTCTCGCTCCGTCTCGCCGCCAGATAAGCTTCTTGTTCAACTGTTATTACACGGGGATTAGATTGTCGGAAGGCAGCCGACCTAACCGCTACCACCGGCGTTGACTCGTATTCACACTTGAAGCTTAGGCTGACCCCTGCGAAATCTCGCCTTGAGCGTGCGTTTGACTCGCACTTTTTATTTTTCATTGTTATCATGGACGTCAAACCCATCTTCGTCAATTTTCAATAGCCTATATATTATAATATATATAATATATATATACTATATAATATTATATATCGTGATTTAACGCACATTTGTTATTTTAATTATCGTCGTTAAGTCATACCTGTTAAGGTGTTTTGTCGTTGCTACGCTGTGTTGTTAATCAATGTTGTGACCGACCACCTTCACTGTTACCGGACTACGACTCGGCGGTACAGTTACAACTGAAGGTGAGTGCGTGATGCGTGCTGCGGGGTTAGAGGTACGGAGAGAGAGGCGCGGGACGGGACGGTGGAGACGGAGAGAGAGAAGCACGAAGAGAGAAGGAGAGAAGAGTGGAGAGGCAGAGGAGGGAGAGAGCGTAGTGGAGAGCGGAAGAGAGAGAGAAAGAGAAGATTAGAGCGAGAGGAAGAGAGGGAGAGAGAGCAGACGGAGGGAAATAGAAACGACGAGAGAAGGAGAGGAGAGAGAGACGATCGTGATGGAGAGGATGAGAGACCCGACGGAGAGAGAGGAGAAAAGGAGCCACAGACAGAGAAAGAGAGAGAAACGCCAGCAGAGCGAAGCATGAGAAAAAATAGATGGAGCGGCGCGCGCGGAGAAGTAATAAGCACGAGAGAGGATAGTATAGGAGAAAGAGATTACGAGAGAGACGAGAGGAGGGAGAGGAGAGAGAACGGGAGGAGAGGGGGGAGAGAGAGGAGGAAGGAGGACGGAGGAGAAGGAGAGATAAGAGCCACAGGAACAACAGGAGGGAGAGAAGAAGGACGGAGGAGAGAGAAAGAGAAAGCCACAGACACAGCAGCAGAGAAAGAGGACGCCTGGACGGACGCGGCTCTGCTTTTGAGAAATGAGGGGAAAAACGGACGAGAGAGAGGAGAGAGAGAGCAGACGGAGAGAGCAGAGAGTAGAGGAGAGAGGGGCGAAGATTACGCGGGCGAGGGGAGAAGGGGAAGATGCAGAGGACAGAGGAGAGAGAGAGAAAGAGAGATGAGATACATAGCAGAAGATGAGATAGAGAGAGACTGTGGACCTGAGAGCTTGGAGGGGCAGAGAGAGGATGAGAGTCAGCAGAGAGGACGAGGTCGAGAGAAGGACGAGACGAGAGAGAGAGAGAGCAGAGAGAGACGAGCCAGAGAGAGAGAGAGGGATAAGCTGTCTTTGTAATGTGTGTTCAGCCGTGCTTACATACCACATGCGTGATCACGAATCTTGAATCTGTTTGTTGAATCTTGAATCTGTTGGAGGCGCTCGTACCTCGCTCGCCGTGTCACGTCGTGTCAAGAGTAAAGGATTAATATTTCGAGCAAGTTATTATAGCGTTGATCACGAACACTTCCGTGCGACGTGTGGCACAATGCCGTCTGACGTGTGACGTGACGTGTGGTGTGACGTGTGGTGTGGACGTTGATGTGACGTTGCTGGTCGCACTGTGATCGTGTGGATGTGACGTGTGGTGTGACGTGCGACTGGTGACGTGTGCCGTATGTGACGTGTGCTGCTGACGTAGTCCGGTGTGCACGGTGTGAGTGGTACGTGTGGGTGCTGACAGTGCTAAATGAAGTCCTAAATGACGCACAAGTGTGGTCAAATGGTGGCAACCCCGGTGATTGTGCACGTGAAGTAGCAGCCAAACACATGACATACACGCATTGTTAACGTCGGAGTTGGAACGCCGGATTTACGCGCGAATCGTTCACAGGAATCTTTTGTAGAACTTGGCGAATACCTTATTGCCCGTAGCATGCAAGTCGCGGAATTTTTAAGGGTTTCTTTTCTAAATTTGCACAGTCTATATATTCGTGTATAATATATAAATATAAATGATGTTTATTATACGTGGTATATGGATATTTATAACTTTCATTGAATTGGCGAAGTAGGACGACGGTTAGTAGGCCTATATGATGAGGCTATTGGCCGGAAAATTAAATGATTAGGCCGTTATTTAATATCATCGTCGTTTTTACATGAATTTAAGTAGGCGCATTCCGAGTGGTTAGTTCTCACGGCTTAGCATACATGCTACACGAAAAGGAACACGAGTTTAAACAGTGCAAAACTATTTATTAATAAAATATATCAAATTAACAAACAAGCAAACAATAAATTACGATGGGCCTTATACAATGGTCACAATGCTTAAACAGCGTTGCTGCCGTCAAAGCGCGTCATTTCATGTTTCCCTATGAAGTTATCAGAATCCTTAATCATCGGGTTTTCTCTGTGTAAGTTACAAGATCAGCAAACGAGAAGATCTGTTCAAGCCTGCTGCTGCCGATCGTCGAAATCGAGGCGCTGTGTGCGTGTCCGTGACCGTCACCGGAACAGAACAGCACAGTGCCGGGCGCCAT